ATGTAATTGAATTGGTGTTATTTCTGCAGCCTTGGGTGCGTGTTTCTCTGGATACTCCAATTTATTTCACCGTCTAAAAAAGATACTGGTGTTGTAAATGGGATTTGGAAATTGCTCTAGTGTGTATGACAGGCAGACATGAAATCATCTGTGTACTGTATAAAACACTGTAAAATTAGTCAGCACTGTGTAACTGAACAAGCTAAACACATGCAAAATAGTATATTTTCTTTTTGTTGTTGTTAGTTTATAATTCATTGGTTGTAAATGAAAACTATGGCAGAATATGTGAATCTGAGTAAGAATAGAATTTTATTTCCCTTGGTATACACATAAATTGCTTGTCATTTTACCATGTTCTCTTAATACTTTGTTTATCAGCTGTAAATTGGTAATACTATTTATAAGATGTGGGAGTTGTTGAATGCATTGGACATTTCATCTTATAATCATTTTCTCTTCAAGTTAGTCAATTCATAGACCAAAATATCAGTTAGGTGTGCAATCTTTTTTTTTTTTTCACATGAAATAGCTAATTAACTTTCAAAAGTCTTTATTTTTCAAGAATCATTATGTGATCTTCTGATTTTTTTTCTTTATTGATATAATTTTGTTATGGCTATTTTACAGAACAATAGCCCCATCGGTAATTTTTGTGAAATGACCACTAGACACATTTAGCTAATCTGTGGGAATATTTGTTTAGTTAACTGGAAAAAAACAAACTAAAAACAGTTAATTAAGGAAACATTTGTTGACAAAAACCACGTGGTAATAACAGCACCACATGCATTATGCGGTAGTGAAATTTTCACTTTAAAATGTAAAAGTGCTGCTAGCCTTGTGACCTAAATCATATGTAATAATTTTGTCTACCATGTATAAACCATGGCATAAAATGTTACAAATGATATTAGGGTGCTGGATTGAGCCAGTGCTGCCTTCTATTTTTATACAGTCAGCATATTGTGTACATTTTATCAGCACTATAAAAGAAGCACACAGGCAAAATGTGCTCACGTAAATTCATTATTCTTTCTCTTGCTACTGTCGAGTCCATGGCATTTGCAGAACAGATTGCAGTTTGTAATGAAAAGGGAAACGAAAATGAAAAATATTGAGTGAACAGCATGGCCCATTTGATATGATTATGAAGAATGTTGCTTTAGTCTGTCTTTTCTACTGCAATATGAAAACAGTAGCAGGGGGTTACATGCAGACTTTGTCTTGTGATTGTCAGTCACTGTCATTTAACATTTGCAACCAGGAGACATCTTTATGCCTGGTCAGATGAGGGGAACAGATTTGCAGTTAGCAGTAGGTCCAGTCTCCACTAAACAAACAAGGACAGGGCAGTCACACCAGCATCTCGCATAAGAATATAATGGACTTCGCTGACCCTGCTGCCCTCCATTCATCTCCGCTTCTAGTTGAATCAAAGCTTCACTTGCTATTCTCAATTTCCTTTAATTGCTGCCTATGTGAAGATAAGAAAATTAACAATTTGCACTTAAAAGTCTCAAGCAGGAAATTAAGCTTGCCATGGCTTGCTCCAGTTTTAGAAGGCAATCTAAAAGTAAAAGGATGAAGAGTGTTAATGTGACAGAATGTCTTTTGTAAATTGCTGTGAATGGCTTTTAATGTATTTAACTGAATTGCAGGGTGAGGATCTTGCAATGTGTACAACACCTCTTGCAAAGACTTAACAAAGAGCATTACAAACAGTTAGCATACTCATGGCGGTAACGAAACCCTATGTATAACAGCCTTAGCTGCTACATTTTTTAAATGCTGATTGTTGTAAAAAAAATTGTGTTGCCAGACACACGGTATACTTAAACTAAACCTGTATGCATGTGAGTTAGGAAACTTTGAATGTGCAATGTGTAAAGTGCTGTGTAAATTGTCGGCGCTATATAAATAAATATTACAGTAAGCCAAGTGACTCTGCAACTGTATCTGTAAAGCAGGAAACCTCCAGTGCCACGCAGTATCAGTTCCCTAGCCCACCACCTGATATGCCACTAAAGCCACATGGGGAAAAAAATTATTCTGTTATGACAGATGTGTATGCTTCCTTCCCCATTTTATGATGCAAACATAGGTGCTTGAGGGACTTATCATAAGATCAACAGGCCTGAGTACTGTCCCATGAGATTAAGGGAAGGGGTGGGGGGGGTGGAGTTGCATTCCTAGCCTCATGGAAATGATGACTTTCAGAAAAAGTTGCATTTGCATAGCATATTTGGGGGCTAAAGCAGTGGATCTAAGGGCAGGCATAAGTAGTAATTGTACTTTACAGCATTGGAAGCTGCCTGCTACAGTATACAGCTGAGGAGTCACTTTGCTTTGTGTGACCCCATGGCTGGTTTACCCTAATATGTGACATCAGACGTGTTGTATGGTGTATACAGCAGGACTATCATAGTAGTGAGTTTATCAATCCTGGATATTGTAAATATAGAAGCCATCTAAAACTTAGATTGATTCAGAGAGCTACAATTAAATGTGGAATATAACATGGGTGCAAAAATGGAAAAAAGGGCCTCAGTCATGAAGGGGTTAAATCAAGTGCAAGAGCATTATTTAGACCGACTTAGAAGGCCTATAGTTTTTTTTTAAGTTTTCATAAATACACATGAAAAAGATGGGTTACTTGTTTTCATATTTTGAAAACCTTATTTTCTAATTTGACCAGTGTTAGTTTTCAAACCTCTAGTGTTAATGTAGATAATAACAGGAAATGTTATTCTGTAATCGATCTTGTTTACAATGACTGTAAGATAAAGTTTTTGATTATTGCAAAAATGAACTGAAATGTTTATATTTCTTTTAATGCCTTGTCAAAAAAAAAATTATTTTAATGCCTTGTTAAAAAAAAATTAACAAAACAATGAAAGTGAAAAAATGTTTAAATATGAATGATAAAAAATAAAATCAGCAAAAAAATAATAGTTACAGGGAGAAAAGGAGGTAGAAGTTATCTATTGCTGATTTAGGTTAATATGGAGTTAAATAGATATATTTTATCAAACAAAATTCACTTCTGAGGTTGCTTTAAATTGCTTTATGTGCCGATTAAAGGACATTGATCTGCACTTTATGGAACTAGTCTGCTATGACAATAATATTGTTACAGCGTATTTAAGAATGACGCTTGTAAGCTGTTTTTATTTGTTTACTAGCTTTGCTAATACAGGAGCTGCTGTCCTGTGCTCCTGAGACACAGACTGTCATTTTGACAGCTAGAGCCAAGCAATTTCGGTAGACACTGTGTGGCCACAGTTGGGGGAAAGCACATGGGATGCTAGGACGTACTAGGTACAACCTTTTTTTGGTTGTACCTAGTACGTTTAAGGTCCTCATCTGGTTATGTATAGTTTGCAATTATATATGAATAGGGGGCAGTCATGTTGGCTCATTACATACTGTAGGATCCTGCTGTTCCTCCTTTCTCACACGTAGGGTATCTCCAGTTAAGAGCAATAGACTCTAATAATGTTTAAGAATTGCCTTCAGTTATGTTAAGCACCCACAATGCCATTTCTAACACTTTTTATTCTTCACCTAGGAAGCGACAAGTTTTTTTTCCATAATATGAACGGAGTACATTGTAATAAAAAAATATTACTTAGTAATGCTGACATGTACCCTATTTATGCAAAATGTGATTTTTAAAAGGGTTTGATGGGGTAATTTAGGCTGTTGAGGTTAGTATTTTGATTAAAGGTATATGGGTGGGTATTGCATTTTGCATTAGTGTCCACAGAGAATAACCAGTAAGGATAACCACTAAGGCTTTGATGAAAGCATACCTGAAGTAAGGTAAAGGTTCCTAAACATCCTCTGGCATGCAGGCATTTCCATCTTTTCCTTTTAGCACCAAAAGATTCACAAACACAGCAGTGATCTGTTATGCATATTGTGACAGGCTTCTCTGGTTGAGAGCCTAGTAGCACCCCTTTCTGCCTATGGAGCCTTAAGTAGGCTGTACATGGTGTGAATTTTGGCTGCTTCTTGATGAACCTGACAAAATTGGTACAGTGGGTGCCCCTGTTGGCATCCTTCCATCCGTCATCTCTCAATCAGATGATCAAAGGAGGAGGATGGAAAATTCTCAGCTGAACAGTGCTTTCAGCCAATCAGCTGCAAGCTCTATTCGGGTATTCTGACAGTGGGCAGCGGCCCCTGACAACACAATGGAAACAGCAGGGGATTCTTTCATTCATGCTGGTAAGCATTGATGGAGGAATCTGTTATATTTTCTTCATTCAGCCCACAGGTTGAATGAAGAAAATATAACTGTGAAGTCGTGAAATGCAGGAGATACAGGATAATCCAAGACTCTTACCCAGGAAGAGTTAGCTAAATTGTGCATGCTACAGTGCTCCTAGATTTGGAGTTCCTGGGAACTAATTGCTTTGTGTTTTTTAGATTTGTTTTCGTAAATGTTTAGACATGTTTTTGAAATATATATTGCCTTGGTTAGGTCCAACTTTGACAATGCCACCACTGGACCTAATAGCATATGTCTTTTTTTTAACTGTTTTTATCATATGTTCTTATATGTTATTCCTAATACATAATACTGTTAATGTTACTGTTGTCTAATGCTGTTTTGGTTATTCCTCTTTGTTATTAAATAAAAGTGAATCCCCCAGTAGAAAAATGTTTGGACAAAACACATTGAAAGCTCAATGTACAAAAAAAAGATTTTTCATATCTAGACTGAATAATTAAGATTGAACTGTCAATTATTGTTCTTCTGGTACGATTAAACATTTTAGGGTGTTTTGTCTCCAGCCCCTGTTGGTACTTCTCTTTTAAATGGGTCCATGAATGTATGTACCTCAGGTACATAGTATGTAAAATGTTGACTGTTAATATGGGATGACACTTTAGCCTCTAATGTTTTAAAAATACATATACAGTTTAATACATCCCCAAACAGTTTTTAGTATGTTTGTAATCTTTTAAATGTGATTTCTTTATTTATTCAGGATGCTGAGGAGTACACTGATCTCCCCGTAAGACATAATGAAGACCAGATGAACAGTGAATTGGCAAAGAACCTTCCCATTGAAGTGAATCCTCATTCAATGGACAGTGCACACACCAAGGCGCACCTCCTATTACAAGCTCATTTCAGCCAAGCCACATTACCGTGTCCTGACTATGCCACTGATACCAAAACTGTACTGGATCAATCTATCAGAATATGTCAAGTAAGTGTTATTGTTTCCATGTTAAAGTTAAACGAAAATGTCTGGCTGCTTTTCTTTTGCCTAAGAGAAGCTGGTGATGGTAGGTGCACCGGTGTTAGGCAACCTTCAAATATATATGGTCATCTTTGGTCACATAAAGAGACCCTGTCTCTAGTTTAAAATATTGCAGGGTAAAGTAAAGAAAAAACAAGTATTTGAAATGCTTACTTGCAGTGTGTCTTTGAACTTGCTAGAGAATTTGACCACTTCAGAAAGAGTCAATTTCCTAGCACAGCTACAGTTTTCCCTCCTGTCACATCATAGCCCTCTGCTGGGAGTGTCTAATTACTTTCTGTGCTGGCCCATTTTTTATGCCCCACCCTTTACCTCCCTATATATCCTTTTATGTTTCTGCTGGGGAGGAAGCAATGGTGAAAACTATAAAGTGTCACCTAAGTAGTAACTCAGCAGCAATCTAAGGGCTTTGGTGTCTACAAATAGAGGATGCTGTAGGTAAATAACATACCTAAACCATATTAAATGCACATATAATCCTTTGGGAAGAATTTTGTGAAATGAATTATCCTGGCTACATGATCTTTATAAAGTTGAAATCCAGTCTCACTGAAACACCCATCTCCTATTAGTAGATCCTTTGGTGTTAAAACACATAGATATATGCTTAAAAAAAACCCAAACACATAGATAAACGTATATAATGTGGCTTAAAGACCTTATTTGCAGCCTAGAAATAATTTTAGGCATGCACAGAAATACAGAAATGTTATACCTGTGAAGGAAAAAGAATTCACTCTTACCAAAAGCCCTATTTTAATTAACAGAAATATATTTGCATTGTACTATCAACTCAGGTTTTATGGTGTTGCCATCATTTTCCTGCTACCACTGTTGTAAAGGGTGTCTACATTTAGTCCAACAGGCACCAGAATTAGACCCAGTGCACTTGGTAATCAGGATTCAGTAACAGGGCAGGTATGTCACACCTCCTCTTCACTTGCACTACAGTACTCTGCGGGGAAGCTTGTGATCGGGGTGTGGCTATTACTCAGTTTGACAAACACAAAGTATTAATAATAGCAATAGTAGAAGAAATTGGTATTTTTCAAGCAATTTCAAGGAAAATTCAGTCTCAAATCATACTATGTTATTACAGGATTAAGTCAGAAGTTCTAACCCTGTGTGTGTTGTAAAGTAGCCACCACTCCAAGTTTGCTCCCATGAAAGACTACAATCTCATGTTTAGTTTACTAATTTGTATTGAGATTGTAATCCATCACAGGAGTGAGCCTGGAGCGATGGCTACTTTACAACATACCCAGGGACCATGGGGAACAAAAGTAGACACCCTCCAGAAGGAAGGACAGTGTCAGCACCAATTCAGAAATGATTTTAGGATCTACAGCTGAGTGATGCCCAAATAAGTTACATTTTAAGTTAAGATACTTGAATACATTTTTTAAACTTTGAAGTTTAGTGTCTTTTCAAGAAATATATATTGTATACAAACAAGAAGAAAACACGGAACAATGTAAATACTTTTATTCAAGAGTATTAAAGTGTTCAGTTATTTTTTTTTTTATATTGTTTCCTACACATGCGTAGGCATCATGTAATAATCTAGTTGAGCACAGATGTGAGATGCTAATGTTACATCTTGCTGTTTCTAAAGTGGTAAAAGAAAAGCTCACAACTGGCATTGTGCTAATTTTGCTATTGTGTGGAATACGTATTATAGCCCACATGTTCATATTTTACTTTTCAGTAATGCGCGCTATATAGTTTATTAATCCCCTCTTGAGAATCTGAAATAGTTGCTATGGTTACAAGTGATGCTTGTGAATGGAAAAAAAAAACCACAACCAGTTAATCCAAATGTAAATAGCAGTTTTAGGGTTGTTTTTGCATTACATTGTATTAAATGTAGATTACCATTAATTAAAATCCTGCTCTGTAAAGGGGTTGGGGAAAAAACGATAAGCCTGTAGTGTCAGAAGGAATGACATGTAATAAAATATAAAAATTAAAACAAAAGTTGTAAATAACTTGATGGAAACTAGTGGGAGTACATCAGATCTCCTATTTCATCCTCTGATTCTGGTTAAGCATTGTGCTATAAAATTGGGCAAAAATATGTTTGCCCTCTTATTTCTGTGGGTGTTATGGATTTAAACGGGTGTCATTGTATTCACAGGTGATCAATCCCTGTATTTAAAATACATGCACTAGGAAGATTCATCTAAAGTGAATATTTGATGGCTGTCGCATTCTCACTGCTTTATAAATATACACTTTTGGCTATATTATTGGTTTATATAACATTGGCTTTTTCAATGAATATGATTATCTAATCAAACAAGAGAAAACCACATGTGTACTGACTGTGAAAATCGTTGCTAAACATACGCAGTAATTTATTGTAGTTTTTCTTTTAATATGTGCTTGAAGCAATTTTCTTATTAGTTATGGTTTGCAAACGGAGGTTACATTTTTGTGAAGTAAAGGCGACAGTAAATCTCTCTTTCCACCCCCCCACTGACCTACGTGTGAACTCTTGAGTGACAGACAACAGTGAACAGCTAACTTCTACTAGTTCATGATGGATATATTTTGATAAATAGTACTTTCGGTTTTTTTAAGGTTCCAGCAAGTTAGGGTTCAAACCTGAAGCTTCTGTGTGAAATAGAATCTGCACCCGTTCAAAATAGTGTAAATAGTGTAAAATATCCCTGAATTGATCACATTTTTAAAGGCATTCAGTTAGGTGTGTTTAAGAAGATATATAAACCAATATGTGAACACATTAAAGCATAGGGTATTTTCCACCTCTTTTTCCGATTGAATGGGAATAGATAAAATGATTAGTGCTTAACCCATTTGGTGTGATCATTTCACTTAAGCATTAGCTGTGAAATGTTAATCACAACTTTAATTCATCTCACATTAGCATTTTGATTAACTCAGCACTAGCCACTACTTGAAGTCTTATAGACTGATAGATGCTGGGGATGACTTTTTCATTAATTAGGTTTTTGGTAGAGAGCAGCTGATTTTACCTTCAACAGTTGCAGGAGAAAGTATTATACAAATATATATTATCATTTGATTTCTTGACACAGTGCCTTTTTATCAATGAAATGTTTGAGTTCTAACCAATAACATGGTTTATAGCATTGAACATTTTATTTTACTTTTTGCAGAGAACATTTTCACCTTATGGTAAATGGACATAGGGCAACAAAAAGCCCACCACTAAAATACAGTGAAATATTTAATTGAGAGCTTTTGAGTAATTCTTGGTTATTTTTGGGTGGGTCCTCACCATATCCTGTAATAATAAAACCACTGTGCTATTTGTATAATAAGCTGCTGTGCGGGAAAAAAATAGTGAAAACACTATTCCCAATGTCGTGAATCAAGTGACACCGCGCTAAAATAAATTAAAATAAAAAACTCCTCTGTGTTTGTTTTTCATTCATCCATCAAATGTTAGCATGTGTGTGCATCCCTCCTCCTAGATCCAAAATCACTAATGCAACATAGTTATACAAATGTGAACACAAAGCCTATATATATATATATATATATAAACCAGATCAAAACAAAATGTCCAATAAAGAGTCCTAGTGATGGTTTCCAATCTATCCTAGTAATCAGCATTTATACGTCAATCTCCTTGTTCTTCATCTTGATCTTGTAATATAAAACGTCTGAAATGTGCACTCAACAGCTGTTTGTGGTCACTTTTTTAAAGGCTGACCAAAGATTGCTTAATCCTTTCTTCCATGCATTGGTGTATCCATCCAGGTTGCTGAGTACGAATTTTCCCAAATCGCCTCTATCAGATCCTCTATGATCCTATGTAGCTACATGGGATCATAAGTCAGTGTCAGTTGATTCACGACCTCACCATATCCTGTCTAGTATTCTTGTCTTCTTGTCTTTTGACTTCCCAAGTCCTACCCCATAGAAGCCATGGCAGCCATGTTACTAATAACATCTAATAATGCTAAAAAGCCATATGAAAGTTGATTAAGCTTGATATATTTTGAGCTATATATGTACTATATACGAGAGGTTGTGAATGTATAGTTGACCCTTGAGGCAAAAAGGAATATTTTTTATACCACCTCCTCCTAGTAGATTTTAATGAGAATTGAATTTCTGAGTGCGTCTTTTGCAACAGATCAAGAAATATAAATTTGTTGGGCTGAAAAATGTTAGATGATCCTATTTTGCTTTCTACTGATAAAGTTGTCATTGGAGTCATTATTGTGATCTGGAGTTCACCCAGTAAACGTCTGTGTTCACTCTGAGTGAAAAATGGATCTTTAGAGACTTTAAGAAGTTTTGGAAGCTTTTGCTTACAGTACACCCAAGAACAGATGCTGAGCATGTTGGCAAAAAAAGTGTTCTTGCACATCAATTTTTATGGCTACATGAAAAATTAATTGTTCTTGGAAGTGATGGAGCTCTATACATAATATAGGTAGTAGGGATGCACCGATATATTGGTCGTCGAAACATATCGGCCGAAAATGGCACTTTTGGCTAAACGCCAAAAGTGCCATTTTTGTGCCGATACAGCGGCGCATCCCTGCTTTCTCTCCTCCCCGCTGGGCGCTGCTCTGTGTCCCAGTGGGGAGGAGAGAAAGTGTGACAGCCGGCCGAGCGCTGCGTGAGGAGAGCGTTGTGATCGGCCGGCGTCTCTCCTCCCACACCGCTCAACCTCCTATCACAGATCATCAGAGCGGTGTGGGGGCGCAGACAGCCCATGCTGCCACAGGAGGCTGAGCTCTCCTCCCTACACCGCTCGTTCAGCCTCCTGTGACAGCGTGTCAGAGAGGAGAGCAAGTGCAAACATTCCGCGATCAGTGATAGTGATATCGCTGATAGTGTTTGTAGATAATTGAGGACATGGTATGGTTACTATATCCTCAATTATGAATGAATGAGAAGTGATCTACATCACCTCCTGTTCATTCATAATTGTGGTTATAGTA